AAGTGATTGTGGGCAGGTTGCTTCCCTTCTGTTTTTCTCCCATCTGAAAAGTAGGAAATACATTCTATTCCCGTCTCTGAGAGATCTACAGAGGTTTGGATATATTTATGGAGAAGGCACAGGGAGGCAGAATGAAAATAATGGAAGAACGGTTCATTAGCAATTCACGAGTATCACTCTCTATTTTTCATCTTACATCTAGCTGTTTTATGAGTTCGGCTTCTTAACTTTTTTTCTCTTAGAGCCCGGTGAAGGATAACTGGCAGCTTGCCCTCCTCCTGCTGATGGGGAGGGAGTTTCCAGCCCTTCAGGGTACCTTCATACATTGCCTTACGCTGTTTTCCACGGGAGATAAACTTTGTACCTGTTTTCGAAATGCTTAGTATGTGACCTGAGATCTCTGCCTGGCTGAGGACAAGTGTCATTTCACATTGGGCTATAGCTGCTACTCTGCAGCTCCGGAGACTTTCCCTGTGTTCTGTCTCAGAGCATTTCTGTTAGAAAGAGGGGTTTGTATTCAGCAGGTGCCTGAGGGCACGGCTCCTTTCCCCTTGCCTAACTCTGTTGGACAAGCTTGTAATTTCTATGTTTCTGTTGGTTTCAGGTTTCCTCCAGGAGTAGTGGGAGTAGCCACCCCTGGGCTACCAGAACCGCCAGTAGTGGAAGGGATTGTAGCTCACGGGATCCCGTCTGTTTCTCACTCTGCACCGCGTACCCCTTCCCCAGGAGAGACGAGCAAACTGGATGCAGACAGAGAGATTCCTGCTGACCAATAGCAGCGTCTTTCTCTCCTCTGGCAGCAGAAAACAGTAGGAGGCGATCTCTCCTAGGACCTTCTTTAACACCCTCCAGAGACTGGTTCCTGTTCATACGGGACGGGAGAATGCATTTCATTACTGGCAAACTTTAGCTCTTGCCTTTATTTTGTAACCCTTTAGTTTTAATCTCTCAATGAATCTTTCTCCTTCTCTGGGGCAGGGCAGCAGTGACCTTGCCTCCCCTCGGAAATACTTGGTTTAACCAATGATTTTTCCCATGCATCTGCCTCGGTTGTCTGTGACAGGGAACTGTCCTTGTGCACTTGAAAACAGAAGTGGAGCTGCCTGATCAGGGATGGCCCTCAGTGTTCCTAACACCAGGCTTCAGTGCACACTTTTCAGTTGCGACTTGTAGCTTAAATTTAATTTGGCTGAACCTCTGTAAGTGTAGCCATGGGGAATATTAGAAAAATATTAGTGAACTGGAGAAGTTGTGACTATTGTCTTTATTATGCCCTTGGTAGAATGCAGCCTAGGCTCAGCTCTGTGTGTTACTTTGCTTGTTTTAATTAAGGTTTCCTGTGAGAACAGACATAGCGCAGGCATTGCTGTTTCTTGACCATACAAAGTTTTGTCTATGCAGTACCAGGCCTGAAGTTAAAAGTAACAGTCTCAAAACCAGCCTTGTAAATGATTTGGAAGGGATTAAAATGTCATCAAATGTGTTCTGGTGGCCACTGTTTTGTGAGGCTTCAGAATAGTTCACCCTGGAGTCTGTGTAACTCGGAGAAGGCAAGAGAATGCAGAAATGGGGAAAACTTGCACTGGGAGACAGCAAGTAGCAATAACTTGCAGCTGCAGTTGCTGGTTCCTCACACACACGTACCTCACAGTCTACTGGCGGTGGTTATCCACACGGTATCTGTCCTGCTAGAATTCTAAGCTTTGTGCTACAGATTTTTTTTTTTTTTGGCATAACTGCGTCAACTAGAAGTAACACAGCAGTTCCAGTGACACTTGTCTCTGTGCTGATGGAGAAGGCAGCTTTTAACTGTTGACCAAATTACTCTACTTTAGCTCTGCTAGCATATACTGCATCTCCAGTGGTGGGCAGGGCAAGGCAGTGTTTTCTCACACGAATAAGCTTTGTGATACTAAAGGAGAAAGAACGCTCTTAGCTTGTCACCTGAAGCCAAGGCAGGATTGTTGCTCCCAAGTCTTTTCCCATTTCCCAAATGACTGAATGTGAATCGCTTCTTTGAGGGGTACGGAGTCTTCAGCAAAACAGGTTCCACAGGAGAAGATTTCCTTAATTCCAAATCTTCCTTTAATTTCATCGTTACGCTTTAGTTACAGCCTTTCCATGCACAAGATGTAACAACTCCTGATTGATTTGTGCATGTTGTGTGGGTATATTAAAGTAGGTGCTATATGGGAGGCGTGCCCTACGCGTGGGTTTGTCTGCCTCCCTTGATTCTTCCCTCTGTTGTGTGTGACTGGAAGCTGAACAGCTGGGAACTGGAACAGACTGGAAATACACCTTGAGGTGTGGACAAAATCCTCTGTTTAGGGTGTTTACAGTTTGTGAAGCTGAGGAAAGCTTTCAGAGTCAATAAGTTGTCAGATTTTTTCCTGGTTTTAATTTTTTCTCCAATACTGCCTTCATATAATGGCTTACTACTGATACAGTGAAGTGATTTCATTCCTTTCTCTGCCACCCCCCCCCCGTTCCCCCCCAGCAATTCAAGAAAGGAAAATAAGCAAGAAGTAAACTTCAGGTGTTTTCTTACAGATTTTACACTTTAATTATTTAGCATTAGTACGATGATATTAGTTCTCTAGTGCTGAGTGTCTTTTTTGATAAGGTATTTGTCTCGGTGAAGGTTCTTGGCTTCTGTGTTTTCATGGATGATGCTGATTCTACTTAAATTCATATACCTCCTTGGCGGCTCAGGTTTAGCAGATCGGACTGGGACTGGTGGTAGGCACAAGTTACAGGAGAACTTTTCTGAGCAAAAGCCTAGAGCTCAGAAGCACTTTGATTGCAGCTGTACCTAACATAACCAGCAGCACTTTGCTGAGTTCTCTAATCTCTAGGAAATGTAAATTTTAACAAGCTACTCGCTCAGAAAGCTGTTCTTCTGACAGGCAGATGGGGAAAAGTTTTCAGGGACTGAGAGTCATCTTCTGGCTATTACCACCGTAGGGAAGCAGTCTGTCAATAACTCCTCTTTCCTTATTTGCTGTGGAAAATTCCTGCCCTGCTTACAGGTTCAGGTCTGAGATTATTTTGTGGTAAGGGCTTCTAGCTATGAGCTTTGTGAATACAGAGAATCGGAGTACATGGACCTTGTCTCTTCTAGAGCACAGTGCAAGATAGGTTTATTTTTTTAAAAGAGGCAGCATTTTTTTTTCTTCTGAACTGCAGGTATCTCAAATAACTGAGCAGAGGAAGAGTGGAAAGATCTCATTTGGGGGACACTTGAGTTTCTCAATTCTTATTTTTTTGTGCCTAGATATACTGGTGACTAGTAAGCATAGGAATTAAATAATTGATTTCATAAGAAATATTTCCAGTTATGGATATTGGGGAGTTGAAGCTGACAGCATTGATAGTGGCTCTGTTCTGTCCAATGCCGTGTAGGCTTGTGATTGGATATGAAGGCAATTTTCCCCTTGATTAAAGCCACAGCAGAAAATGTTGAGGTAAAAATGAACAGAACCCTTATCGTGACCTGAAAGGAGGACTCTCTCTGTGCTTATAGGATTACTCTGCTTGTATGCCATTTGTACCTCTGCTTATAGACTGAACCTGTTATCACCAGACGAAGGCTGTTCTGAACAGATAGCTCAAAGAAAAATTTACCAGTACTAAAGCACCCTGTGGTCTTCTCCATCTCCTGAGTGCCAAGTCCTTTGTTAGTACTCTCTCCTGTGTGATACACTGATTTACAGCTCCCCCTCCCAAGCTTAGTGCAGTATACAGAAGTGGAAGGATTTTTCTTTTTCTTTTTTCTTTTTTTTTTTTTTTTAGAATGCCTTCCTGCAGAACTAGCGCAGAGCTTTAATCCCAAAGAACAGAAGTCTCCCAGGGTGAGGCAGGAGTGCCCTAGCTGCACTAATCTGCTTACAGGAGGTGCTCACACTGTCGCAAGGTACATTCTGTTTGTCAGGGTCACTGCTGCTGACCAGCTTTTTTATAGAGGACTCAGAGTTTCAGAAATATATTTTTGTAGACAATGACTAAACTGTGAAACATTGAAATAAAGCATGTAAACAAAAACTTACAGCACTGTCCTCTGTACAGATGTTTTTCTCACTGGTTCTCTCCTGACTCGTTAGAAAATGTTTGATTACTTCTTGGATATATTTTAATAAAGTTGTCCAAAGAACATGGCTGCTGTCTATGGAAGGGGTGGCCTTAGATACAATATTGAAGGGGAGGGTTGAAAACCTGTACAGGTAAGTGTCTGCATCACTCCCGCTTTTCTCAAATTAGGTAAGTTGGATCTTCCACACACTCAGTCCCTGGATCAGCCACTCTGGCAAATGTCTTTCTTTGGATTCTGGAGCATTGACCATCAATCAAGGCTGTGAAGGTGGCAGACTGGAGAAGAAGCCAACTGCAGTGGTTAAGGGACAGCTTTGGATGTAGCCTGGTGTTTACTTACATGACTTCTCACAAGTTGAAATTGTGGTAACTGGTTTTGCAGCCTTTTACGTGTGTAATTTAAATATACATGTGTAAACAGCGGTAGCTGTCTTCATCCTTTTACAGTAAAATTGTATTTGAAATTAATACACAAACTATTTTTTCTAACATACAATAAAAGTTGGTGCAACAGAATTAGCATAGAAAAGTATTTAGGTACTTCATAAATTGGAGTTAATTCATGTTTTATGGCCTCTGCGCCCTGTGTTGATCATTAATGAAAGCTGGGAAACCCCTTCTTACTCTTGGTGGATGACATCACTATTTGGCTAGCTGGTGCTGCACGCCTTTGCAATATCTAGCACCATGCTCAGGAGATGGGATATGGGAAATGCTGGCCTGCTTTGTCGTGGCGATTTCAGTCTTGGAGCTGGTGGAATGGGAGGGGGACATAGGACCACTTGGAATCTTTCACGTGGTGGTACTATCTCTAATACACAGCTGATGATCTTACTGTTTCAGTAAAGAAGCTTAAGACATGAGGGCAAAGCCTGGTCTTCAAAGAACGTAGTCCTGATCTTGGATTTACCATGGCAATTGCTTGGACACAAGACATCATGGCTCTGCTGCCCTTCAGCAATGTTTCATGTAGGTATTGGCTCCTGTACGTTCAAAAAAAAAGGGCGGGGGGGGAGTTAGCAAACCTAGCGGTGTGTAGTAAATCAAAACTCGTAGATGCTGCACAGCAGGAGGGTAGAGCAGAGTTCTGATGCCACTAATGTCAGTTCTTAAGTTCGATGTAGTTGTTCAAAATACCAAAGGCAGACCCCACTTCCAAAAAAAAGTCTTTTGAACCTTCTCTTGATGTAATCTGTCTTAGAATCTGTTCAGTATTTTATCTGTGTGCCCCATCAGGACTAAAATTACACCATAAAGAGTACAGATAACAGGATGAAATGATGACATGCACTTGTGAGGATGGGCACATTGTACAAACCGGCATTGTGCATCACCTTACCCATTTCCCAGCACAGTGAATTGCATCCCTCTAACCAGAAAGTAACGAAGATGAAATGTTGCCATCTACTTAAGACAACCCGACACAATCATTTTGAATAAATGAAAGTGAAAGCAAGGAACTTGCCTTTACTGCTGCTAATTCAGTGTTGCATGTGACTCTCCCAAAGCGAGGAAACAGTGCACACACAAGAAAACAATTGCACAAGAATATCCGTGTTCTGGTAGGGAGTATAGCATCTGCCCCTCCTTCCAGTTTCTGTCAGTGCTGCTGTGTCTTTACTGCACAAGCAGAAAGAGATGTGAAGTTGCATGCCACTTCTCTAACAGTGCAGGATTCTGAAGTATTTTGTGTTTGTTCAAGAATGTTGAAAAGGAGCAGGTTTAGGGCATTGCACCATTCTATATGAGAACCGTTCAAATGTATCAGTGAATCATGACAGCTGCATCCCATTAACATAAGGATTTTATGTCTTAACCACTCCCTAAATAAATGCCTTTTCAAAATCTACCTCGCTGAAAAGCAAAGCGCCCAGACCTGGGACGCGCTGCTGTTGCGCTGGGGCCGGCAGCGTTTACTCAGGCCAACCTGAAACATTCAAAACTGCAACACGGATCCCAGATTTCAAGCTGTCGTTGTACTGTTTTTTGTGCACGTTTACCTGGAAATTTAGGTAAAACCTCCTTAATTTCTGTCACAATTTCAGATTTTGAACTTGGCGTTAACGAGAGGCCCTACCGCGGGAAGGCCGCCTGCTTCGGCTCCTCGCCGCCGACCGCCTCCCCCACCCCCCCGCGCCTCCGGGCGGCCCCTCAGCTGCGCGACGGCTCCGGTTCCCCTCCGCGGGCTCAACGCCGCAGGGCCTTGTCCCTCCCGGGCCCCGCTCTCCCCTCCCGGCCTCGCCGCCGCCGCCGCTCCTCAGGGCCGGCGGGGCCGCCGCGCCC